AAGTCCATCAATGCGCGCGGTGTAGACTCACTTCTTGTAGTCCGCCTCGTTCATGAACCCCTCCAGCGGGCTGAAGCCACCATTCATGATGAGCTCAAGATCACATAGTTGGCGCTCCGTGAGCGTGATGTCTGGCAGTCCGGCCGCTTCGTCCCTCAGACTTTGGCGGATGTGTTCATCGCGAGCAACGAGATCCTGCGCCGTACGTCATGCCACAGCGAAATGCCCACCCGCACGGGTCGCTCACCTTGAGAACACCACCGTGTGGGGGGTTGGCCATCGTTTGAGACGTTGCGCAGGAGGTGCTTCTCGATGTTAAGAGCCGCTCAAGGAAGGGTCGTCGGAATTAGCCAATCCACATCTTTGGGTTGAACGCATTTATGCGGCAGGCCGGGGAAGCGATGGTGAAGGTATCACGCAATCGAGTCGAATAGGACGTGAGTAGACGCGGAGAAAATCATTGAGGCAGCCCGTGGTTCTGCCAATGGTGACGGTCGGACAGGGAAGGGCGTCGGGACTAAAATGATGTCCTTGCGGGTGTAGAAGGTGGTCCTCCACGCGAATTCGGAATGTGGGCAGCATTCCGAATTGTTTGATGGCGCGCAGGCCGCACTTGGACTTCATACCAAACGCCCGTCTGATCGGTGCGTTTTACAAGCCTCTCCTACTGCTTGTTCGAAGATCAACGTATACGCCATATCATTGTCTATACATACAGCCCTATAGCGCCCAATCTCATCATCAGGTCTGGGCCCTATTCCTTCCGGTAGACTCAGAAGTATCACAATTCGAAGGATCATAGACACCCAGACGGCTGGCCCAAACATAACATACACTGGAAAAGCACACTAGGCCACTCTATCTCCACTTTCGCGATCACCCATTGGCCCAAAGTGCAAGGGAGTCGCAGTCGAACTCTTTGACAAGCTTATCACCGAATGGTCTGATTAGCGCCGCCAGCGACGCACGTATGCGCGACAAGGGGCGTGTTAATAAGTCAACCTATGGCATCCGACCGTGGCCATCGAGGTCACATCTGGCATGACCAAGATGAGGACAGGTCTGAATAAGATAGCACACAGTTCTGCATGACCGAACGGCGATGGATCGTACCATTCAGCTGAGGGCCTGAGACGGACTACGCACGTCACATCGGCCTATCAAGGTTGCAAAGTAGTAAGCATAATCTACAAATACATTTCCGAAGAGGAGATCTACATTATTGGTACAGCCACAGACGAATGGTCCACTATTGACACCAAGAGCAACTTTACACTACGTACCGAAGTACATCACCGCCTTGATCCGAGGAAGTGATTCTAACTTCGACCGTGCCAATGGAATTCCGGCAGATCCGCCGTGGTAGTGATCTGTGCAAACGGGGCTCCCGATATGCAAGGAGCAGTCCGGTACGGGTCGTCGGTCGTAGTTGATCATCGCGTCACGTTGATCCTACGGAGCAAGCTCGCGTCAGAACGACTCTTACATGAACGGCGAAAAACGTACTCTCGACCCTGCACATGGATGGCCGGCCGGATCGTGCCCGCGCTTCTTTTCCTATGTCGAGGGGTCGAGGCGACCGTGACGCTCACGAGTGGTTGTCGATCGCCCCCCGCAGATGTCGGCGCCTGCCCAGGGAAAGGCACCAACGAGGATGCCTCCTGCTGGCCCCGATTCGTCTGTGAAGTGCGGCGAGGCCATTCAGCGCCCGTAGCGGGCTCCGCCGCGCCGCGTGCAGCTGGGGCGCGTGCTCAGTCGTCAGCATGTATCGAGTCGCCGCAGAGGAACCACCACGCACCTTCAACGACCTTCGCGTCCGCCTCGCGATGGAAGCTCTCCATCAGCGCCGTGAACCGCCGCACCTGCCATGCCAGCTGGCTCGCGCGCGCGTAGTTCCCTTGGCTCAGCGCCCACTTGCGCTCCTCCTTGAACCGGCGTCGCTCCGAGTCCGCGAGGCTCGCGCGTGCCCGGAGCACTGCGACGGCGCGTTCCTGGTCAGACATGCGGCCCTCCGGATCGATGGAGGAAGGGACAGAGTCGAGGGAGATGGAGGGTCCAGTGCTGGCATAGGTGAGGGCAGGTGTGATGGGGCGGACTTCGAGGCGGCGAGGGTTGCGCTCGTGGTCCCATTCACGATCGCGTTTTCGGCCCTCTGGCTCGCGGTGGTGTCTATGGGTCTCGTCGCGCTGGTGGCGGTGTGTCCGTTCCTGGCGGTCAAAGGAGACCAGGCGCAGGCGTCGGCTCGGCTCGTGCACTTCGCGCGTCGTGGTGGTCGTGCGTGTCCGGGTCTGGACCTTCGTTGTGGTGTCTGCCTCGAACGTCTTAGACAGCACGTCCGTGAGGACGACCCCCAGTGCGATGCCGAGGAGGGTGCACACGCACTGCGTGGCGTCAAATGTGCGGGTATAGTCCAGCAGGGACTTCGCAGCGATCCCGACGCCCACGGGCACGGCCAAGAGGTACACCTGTGTGAGTGACGTGTAGAGGAGGACCCCTTGGAAGAGGCCATTCAGCAGACTGTCTGGGGTGGACGAAGGCGCGTCGGGGCCGACGAAGATCGTGTTCAAGAGGATGCGTGCGCCGAGCGCAATAAGGAGTGCTGAGCTAGTCGTGATATTTTCCATGAAAAATCTTGACTAGTCATAAAGGCATTAGAGGGATATCGCAGGGGGTAGGAGAGAGATGATCAAGAAGGGCTGGCGACTTGCTGCCGCCGGCGAGAAGAGGCTAGAGGAAGAACAGGCTGCAGCCTCGAGTGCGTCCTTCTGAGCGCCCATAATCCAACAACATGAGGCACTCGCGCCCACGTGCACGCGTACGAGACTCACTCGGACGCCTGAACTAGCACTCGAGGTGTATTCTCCGTATACAGAATTATATGTAGCATACAACAATACAATGGACAGTGAGGTCACTAGAGATACAGCGTGAATAGCATGGCGTGGCTATACCTCCGTGTCGACGTAGCTGGCCATGGGGTCATCCGTCATCCGACGATTCATCCTGTACGCCTCTGCAAGAGAGTCAGCCCCGGTGTGCCAACAGCCCCAAGGCACACAAACTCACCGAGTTCCTCCTGCGAGACTTCATAACTGCCGCCCGGGCCCTTCTGCCGTTTCCCAGTCCGGTCATCGTCATCCCCACTCCTCGCCTTCCGCTTCTTCTCCTCCTGGAGCGCCTGCGCGAGACGGTCCTTATCGAGGCTGAGCTCACCCTCGCCAAGACGCTTCTTTGAGAAGAGCTCCTCTGCTTTCTTCTTGCGGTCCTCCGTTGTCCCCGTCGCCCGCGGCGCAGACTCGGGTGGCGGTGACCCCTCGGTTTCGAGTGCAGATGCGAGGAGGTGTTTTGCGCTTGAAGCTTGCGCTGCCTCGATACCCGCAGATCCGGTACAGTAGGAGACGTGGACCATGGAGTGGCAGCAGGCATATCCCCACTCCCCAGTTGTTGCGTCGTACCACGAGCCCCAGACGGCGGTATGATTATTGATGAGCACTGCAAACCGTGAGTTGGCCGACGAGATGCGTCGCGAAACGAGGTCACGTACCATCCTCTGGATACTTCGACTTTGCTGCTATACGCTCCTTTCCTTTGATGACCTGCCCGGTCCTTGAGAACTCGACGTACTCCTCCGTCTGACCTTGCAGCAGCTCTTTGGGAGCCTTCTCCAGGTACCGCTCTCCACCATACTTAGAGAGGATACTGGACTTGTTGACTTCCTTCAGGTGTTCCTTTTTGTTTTCAAATGATTGGTGCAGGAGCTGGCCCTGGGTTGGATTTGCGTTCATGTGGACATCGTTTCCCCGAGCGGCCGCATTCCAAGCAAAGAGCTGCAGTTTCTGCACTTCGGGGGCTTCCCCCGAGAATCGCAGGAAGTTGTCGCCCGTAAACCGTGCCTATACCTGTTTGAGCGCAAATCATGCCACTAATGTGTGTCAAACATACCTCTTCTGGAGGGACGTTCTTTAAGGGATTATCACGCATGGATCGGGTCTTCGGGTCGTAGTATGCACTTGAAGGGTCGAGGTTGATGAGGTACTTTGCAGTATCCTCACGAATGCGCAGATTCCGGACAGTGATACGAGTCTTCGTGTCAAGCTTCTGTCCGACAGCGTCTGCCGCCTCCGCATACTTGTCCGCATCCTCATCCTCCTCATCGCTACTCCCAAAGTCGTCGTCCCGCCCCTCGCCCTTCTCCTTGCCTGCCTTCGCAACCTTCCGGACAGCAGCTAGGTCTGTCGTGGTCTGCTTGTCGATCTCCTCCTCACGCAGCTTCTGCCGTGCCGCCTCCACCGCCGCATACTCCTCATAGATCCTCTTGTGCTCCGCAGGGTCGTACCCATTCCACCGGTCCCGCTTCGCGTCATAGCCAGTCGCGACTTCCTGTATAATCTCGTCCGGTGCAATGCCCTTGTTGGTGAACTTCGCACCGCGCCGCCGTGGCCGCTCGAGGCAGTCCTGCTTCTGATGCGTTATGGCGCCACAGTTCTCGCAGGCACCCTTGCGGTACTTCTTTGCCGCGGGACCAGCCTTTGCACCACGGTCATACCAGTTATCGAGCTTGTCTGCAGAGCGGTCGTACTCTGGAATACGCTGGTGACTAAGGGATGGTGCACCGGTGTCAAGGTACCACGGTGCTTGAGCGATATACTCTACATGAAGTGAATGACTGCTGTCAGGATGTGTAGCAAGAGCGTGGTATGGTGCACGCACGGGGAATGTGCGGGTTGATGGCCTTTCCCTCCTCGTCTAGGGCAGCTGGCGCTGTACCGGCCTTCCTGGCAGCATCGAGGTCCTTTTGCCTGCGAAACTCTTCACGGGAAAGCTTGCCAGTCGCTACAGAGATAGTGTCAGGACAATAGAAGAGCTCAGGCGAAGGGCGTACCGGACACAGAAGCCATGAGTGGAGGGAAAGAATGAGTTGCACCACTGAGAGGTGTGAGACAGGTAAGCGCGCGATGAGCCACTATTGACATAAGCAAAAAGGTTCAAAAGACAATTTCTGACAGTGACGAGATTCGAACTCGCGCGGGAGGACCCATCACGGAACTCATAAGAGCCTAAACGTGACGCCGTAACCACTTGGCTACACTGCCGATGGAATCAGGTAGACTCGTGTGTACAAGACGCCACGATCGGCTCATTCTGCGACGACTAGCAGGAGGACAACATCGAGGGGAGATAGTAGGGGAGGTAGTGCCGCTGGGAGAGTGATAGAGATGTCAGAGGGCGGCGATGTGAGACAGATGCGGGGATACACGTGGAGCAGGCGCCCATTTAGGGCGGGTAGGCTAGACTCGCTCGACTTAGTCTCAGATCCACTCTCTCACTCGCCGCAACTCGAGTGAAAGTTCCTCCTCTCCTCCTTCCCTCCACCATGCAATCCCTTCATCCAGGCCGCCCTGCTGGCCCTCGCCTCCGCTCAGCGTCCCCCGCTCTCGCCCTCCCTGATGTCCAACCTCTTAACATCCGCAGGCCCGCCCCGTCCCCCCGTCCAAGGCTCAAGCTCCCTGCGATCGACTTCTCGCAGATCGAGGGCGGTCCCTTCACCGGCGAATATACCGGCGGAGGCAACTCCGTTACGCCCCATGTCAACAGCAGCACCATGAGCCCCAGCGACCTCACCGTGAGGCCAGAACTAACCATCTCGCCCATTCCCCGCGCACCGACAAAGAAGATCTCCATGGACGACATCCGACAGACCGTTCGCAAGTTCGACGAGTGGTCCGACGACTACCTCGAGGATCTCGCCCGCCTTGGCGAGGGCGCGGGCGGCGCCGTCTACAAGGTCAAGGACAAGCGTACCGGCTTCTTCATGGCCCGCAAGACGATCACAACGCTCGAGGCACCCATGAAACAGCTCATGCGTGAAATTAAAATCATATCGAGCACATCCCACCATAACATCATCCACTTCTATGGCGCATACATATCCCCGTCCTCCAGCGAGGTCAAGGTTCTCATGGAATACTGCGAGGGCGGCAGTCTCGAGTCCGTCGGCAAGCGACTCAAAGAGACCGACAAGCGCGTCACCGAGAACGTCGCAGGGCGGCTCGCCGAGGGTGTGAGCATCATATCCCTGTCGTGGTTACGTCGCTCCCTTGATACTGATCCCGACGCGTTTCTATCTCGCAGATCCTGCAGGGCCTTGCCTACCTACACAAGCAAAAGACCATACACCGTGACATCAAGCCCCCAAACATCCTGCTCACGCGCGAAGGCATCGTGAAGCTCTGCGACTTCGGTGTCTCCGGCGAGCTCATCAACTCCATGGCGGGCACCTTTACTGGCACGAGTCTCTACATGGCGGTACGTCCTCTCCGCAGGCGGATCGTCCGCGGGCGAGCCCTGTGCTGATCTGCGCTGCAGCCGGAACGGCTGTCTGGGCTCGAGTACACCATCCGATCGGACGTGTGGTCGACGGGCATTTCACTCCTCGAGCTGGTCCAGAACCGATTCCCCTTCCCCAGCGATCTCGCCGCGATCGAGCTCATGATGTACATCACCCAGTACGAGGTGCGCTGCTCCTTCCGTGTCCCTTCTCTCGCTTTCCGAGGTTCTAACGCCGTTCCAATCCCACGCCGTAGCCACCAGAGCTGGAGGACGACGGCACGTACACTTACAGCTCCGAGATGAAGGACTTCATCAAGCAGGCGTACGTGTCCTTATCGCGCATCTGTCCATCGTCATCTACATTCCATCTCACACGCGCTTCTTAATCTCATAGGCTGACTCGGGACGCCCTACTGCGCCCGACGCCCGCGAGCTTGCTCGAGCACCCGTGGATCGCGAATGTTATGCAGCACGAAGTGAACATGGCCGTCTGGATACGCAAGGTATGGGGCTGGCCCAAGACCCGCTCAGCGGGCGAGACGTAAGCCACGTTCCTTACTTCCTCCCCATCCCACCCCTTCTCCTGGCCTCCCCCGCAACGACATTGACGGTTCGCGCGGGTGCTGATGGACCACACTCTGATTTGACAGATCGTTGCGGCCAGGCTCAAGCCGCAGCGACCCGCCCTCCCTCGAAGCAGCGATGGCGCACATGTCCCTCGCGCCGCAAGCATGATCGATGCCCCCTCGCACACGCACACTGCATCTGTCTGTCGTTTCGGTTTCCCGCATCTCTCCACACCCACAACACACCTCCATCTCATGCAAGCCGTCTCGTCTCGTCGTCATCTCATCATCTCGTGTCCATCTCCACCAACGATAATAACCACTATCAGCGCGCGCGTCCTTGACCCGTTGCCCGACACCCCGTGCCGGCTTCTAATCTATTCTCTTCATTTTGATTCATGCCTCTTTGCCAGCCAAAAGTAGCAGCGCAAGCCCCGGCCGTGCCTCCGTCCCTGTTCATCGTTAGCAGCTCGTTTGCGTGCTTGCTGTAGGGCTGTTGCCCATGGCATGACTACTGCCTAGTGCACGTTCACCCCCTTGGCGGCAGTCGCCCGGGTTGTGGAGAGAGGTGGGCAACAGCTGCACCGTAACGGACCATGCGCCGCAGAGTGTACGTGTACAGTTGTTTTTGTAATGTCTGCCTGTCGTATGTGGATCCCGGAATCTCGTCCCTCGATGTTTTGTAAAGCAATTGCCAGAGGCCAATGGACTCTAATTTATACCTTGCAACACAGTTTTGCTGGCGTACGTGGGTGATAAGGAAAATAACACATCCTTGATGGTGAGAGGACCCAGTTTCCGTTGACATAAATACGGCATAATACTATGCATGCGATTACTGGAACACACGGTGACAACTGATAGCGAGAGTGAACGACGATCGAGAACATTGCAGACTGCGATAACTAAATAGACAGCGAACAAACGAGACGGACAAAACCCTCATACCTCCTCAGGACTTCACCATCAAACCACCGTCAACGCGCTCAGGTCGATTCACGGCGGAAACTGTTGGGATTCGTCCACCTCTACCGCGGGCTCTGACACCGCCCCTCTTCTGACCTCTTCCTCGAGCACTTCCAGCGTTAAGAGAATCATCGTTGAGATTGTTCCTTCGCTCCTGGTAAGCCCTGTCATCGCTTCGAGGGTTTCTGGGCCCGGCTGGTCGGCGAGTCGACGTAGCAGGTGATTTGACAAGCACGGCCTGCTGGTCAGTGTCGGTGAACCCTCCGTTAGCGCTTGACGAAGACAGACCAGCGGGTCGCACGGCCTCGCGGCGCGCGTCGACGCCTCGCATCCGCATATGCTGACCAGTAAGCGGGGGCGAAAGCAGGTACTGTAGGTGAGACAATTGTATGTCCGCAGGTAGACCTAGGTTGAGGGACTGCATCTCAGAGTAAGTAGAGTAAGGGTGATTCATGTTAGGATGTCCATCATCCATCTGGGAGGGACCGTCTTCCTCCGGTACTGCAGAGAGTCGTCGTTGTATGAGGCGAGTGATGGGAACTGAGCGATTCTGTTGAGAAGAGAGAGAACGCGTGCGCGGTTGCTGTGGTGATGTCGGCGATGGAGGAGTGACCATTGCAGAAGGAGGAACGAGCTTGTGCTGGACTACATGCCCACGAGACATGGCCGTATAAGGTGAATTAGGCGGGGGCCGAGGGACGGCAGGTGATCTCCTGAGCGCATTTTGCAGTTCGTTGGAGGGTTGACGAAACTGGCTGCGCATGTATGCCTCCACGGAATCCGATACACCGTAGAGAGAGGGACTAGCCGCATACAGTCCGTGCTGGTCTTCCAAGTGGGCTGTAGAAGCGAGAGCGAGCAAGTCGATCTCGCTCTGACGATCAGGCAAGGCAGAGAGGGGTCCTCGTCCGAGCTGCTGTGAGACATCCAAGAGCATGTTACCACAGCGAGGATTCACGATAGACGGGGAGAGCTTGTTGAGACCAGAGAAGTTCGAGAGCAGTTCCGGAGACACCATAGACGACGGGTAGGGGGAGAAACTAGACGACCAGATAGGAGACGAGGAATTCGGTGGGGTAGGCAAACCGCTCTGCTGTTGCCGCTGTTGTTGCGCCTGTTGCTGACGGTATTGCTGCGCGATCTCTAGAGCGGTCTGTCGGCGAGGAGTCAAGCGTTCATCAGAATGAGAGGTATCTCTAGCATGTGCCTGGTGCGCAGGAAAGGCTTGCGAGGACACATCTGCATCATAGCTACCAAGGGGGCCACCAGGAGCGTTGGAAAATCGATTGGCTTGCAGCGCGCGGTGATTCACCAAGTTGTGGGCCGACAGTGAGTTGTTGTCCTTCATGATGTTGGGAACGATGGGGGTGTTGGACCAGTTATTTCCGCGGTGGTTCAGCAGCATACCAGATCGGTGGTCGCCCGAGTGTCTAGATGCGTTGTTCGCGGATATATCAGAGCGAGTTAACTGCATCTCGTTGCGCACAAGCTCAGCCAAGTCTATAGGCTCCTGACCACATAGCGGATAGCTGACAAGCTCTTGCCCTTGGAATCCGCTGCCGTGTGCAGCCGAGACAGAATCCGTTTCGGGCGTCTCGTGTATAGTCAGACTCATGAGCTGCGAACCCAAATCCGAGGGAGTAGCCGACGCGCTCAGTTGCAGCCTTGGAGGAACGCTTGCTTTGTTGATACGATGGGTGGAGCGAGCAGGAGACTTCGTCGGGCCTGATTGTTGTGAAATGGAGTCTTTCGAGCGCGAAGCTTGCGAGCCTTCGCCCTCGAGGCCCCAAATTACCCGAGGAAGATGATCAGGCTCCTCGATGATGGTTCCCTCAGCACCGCTATGAACGTCCATGAGTACGCGGCACCACAAGAACCCGTAAGTCATAGCCTGATACTCACGACGGGCAGCGCGCATACGGCAATGACAAAGGTCCGTGTAGAGCAGGGATCGGTCTGGGTGGAGATGACGCCCACGAGATCCAGCCTGACATCAGGAGCTCAGTGAACAGCGTCGGAAGCAAAGCGGAGGTGGCCCACCTTGGTCGTCAGTTCTTGCTCCTTTCTGAACACGCATCTGGTCACCGCGCAGGAAGCTGTCAGCCAGGTGGTTGTTGTTGCCTATGATGACGATGGATTCAGGGGACGACATTGGGGAGGGTGTATGCGGGGACTCGGGGACCTGCGAGTGAACGTGTATGCGGGACACTTCTTCTCCGTCCGTGCCAAAC